CGGTCCGCCGGGCGGTGGCCGGCCGTGGTATGTGTGTTTAGCGCGCGTGTGACGGTGCCGAGCGTTGCAGCGGGTTCGGCGGTACCCCCTGCCGAGAGCAGGCGCCGCTGCCGAGGGTCGGCCACCGCCCGTCTGGCCCGGCTGGGGGCCAGGCCATGAGTGCACCTCCGGCCGGCCGCAGCCGCTCCCTCGTCCCGCCGCTCCGCTCGTCCCGCGCTCAGTTTCATCGCAGCCTCTCCGCTGCAGCTCCGGGGCCGGCTGAATGTCATCGCCGGTTTAATTTGTCGTGCCCGGCTCGTTAATTAGAAATCCTCCCATTCGGTGTCGAGCCACTTTTTGGGTCGAGGTGTGCCCTTTAACGGGACCCGGCGCCCGGCGCCGGCAACGATTATGTAAATCGTCGCGACGGCGGCGGTGGTGGCGCAGCAGTTGCGCCGTGACTCGTCTCATCTGCGCCACAGCCGCCGCCGCTGGTCGGTAGCCTCCCTCGAGAGAGCTGATAGCCACCGAGAATAATTGAGCCGCTATCAGTCGGGACGGGCATTTAAATGGAAATGAATTCCCCGGATAACAGAGAAAATCCACCCGAAAACGGCGCCGCTGTCGTCTCAATCGACCGCCGCCGATTGGCGAGATCGCGTCGGACTCGACGCTCAGCTTTGTCACCCTGCTGCTGGTGGCCGCCCAGCGGCGAGTCGAGGTGAGTCAGTGAGTCAGTACGAGTCGGGTGAGTCGGGCGAGTCGGCAGTGACTCGACACACCAATCTGGCCCGTTATAAAAGCTGCATTAGTGCGACTCGGCTGATTTATTCCGGACGCTGCCGCTGCGTCGAATTGAATCGACGCTGTCCAAGCTGCCCTCCACCCCAGCAATTTGTCGGCATCGTATTGTGGTTGTCACAGCACATAAAGATAGCACTGGGTAAAAAATGGTAGCACAAATCAAGGGGAACGATAGGGGATTAATTATTGATTTTTCCGTCGGTCGCCTCCGATAGCCGTCGACGACAATGGGCCTTGATTTGCGGAGATGAAACTGTGTTTATACGAACGATCGATGCAAATTAGCTTTGGCCGGCCGGCGGCGGCGAGTCGTCGATCTCCTTTGTTTGAGCGGCAGGCGGCCAGGCGCCGGAGCGCCGTCGCTACACGCCGCCGTCCGTGCTCTGGGCTGTGTGCCGGCGCTGTTTGCTCCACACACGGCGCAGATCAGACGCGGCTCACGTTACCCGTCGCGTCGACCACTTAGATTGGGCCAACAGTGGCGGATCGCCGCCGCCGCGCTCACCCCTCCCTGGCGCCGTGACCTGTTTGAGCTACTGATTCAGCTGTTTGGTCAGCGGCTGCATGAAAGCCGGCCGAGTAAATTGCCGGTAATTAAAAGTCATTGTTTCGGGTCGGCGGCGGCGGCGGCCAGGTGGCGGGCGCCGATGACATGAGCTTCTGCCGGTCGGCCGCTGTCGGCTGCGCCGCGCCCGACGCGCAAACAGATTGATGGATTACGGGGAGCGGTGAGAGCGCCGGGAGAGGAGAGAGAGAGATGTCCTCTCTCTGGAACCGCGCTGACACGACGAAATACGGCGCACGCCCACCCCCTCCCCCCCCCCCCCCCTGTGTGACCTATCAGCACGATTTTTGAATACTGAAGCCCAGTGACCCAGTGCTGCCCAGTGTCATATAGCTGATCAAAAAAAGACTGATCAAAAAATAAAAATGGTTAAAATTTTACCAGTTGTATAAATGTTTAACCACTGCAAAAAATGTGCTGGAAAATGTATATCAATTCAATATTTATCGTATGTGACGTTTACCGTGCCGACTGGCCACATTGACCCCTCGTCCAAGCCACGCCAGCCAGTGTCTTCTCCAGGTCAACAGATTCCCCAACGCGCGTCTCTCATTGTTTGCAATGCGCTTTCAGTGGGCGTCGGGCCTGGGGTGTGCGGGTAATCCGACCATCAGCGCTCGCGGCGCGCAGCGCGCCGCCCGCCGCTGTCTCGGTCAATATTTTGTAAGAAAGTGTTGAGTTTCTGTTGTGCGGGCGCGGCTGGAGGCTGCCTCGCGAGCCTCGGGGCGCGCTGACGGGAATTGTTTGGCCGAATGCCACTCTGTTGACGGAGGTGCTCCGTGACTTCTCGGCGACCAACCGCGTCGGACTCGCCTACCGTGTCCACTGCCGCGCCAGCAGTGTCGCGCTGTGCCAACTGTCGCGCCAAGAGTGTCTCTGGGTGGCGCCAGAAGCCCCTTGTTGTTCACACGGCACGAAACGACTGGCGCAGACGACCTGAGCCGCATTAAATATCGCTCACTTTGAAGTCGGCTTGCTCAAAGTGATTGCTGACACATCGTGACATTCTTTTGTCTCATTCTCACTCCCTATAGAACTAAACTTGCCCTTACTGCACCGGTGTGATCACATAGTGTCGAGTGAGTGACCACTGGTGCAGCAGCTCAATACTGAGCCCCCTGGTGCCGCAGCTCGATGTCGAACTGTCTGGGGATCGGCCGGCCGGCAGCCCGGCTCCCCGGCGTCCCATTACCACCGCCGAGCCGATCCGACCATCTACGAACAATTGGCCAAATTCCCGGCGACATATTGCACCATCGAGCCGGCGACAGGGCCGGCGCCCGATCAGCGCCCGGCGCCCCAGTCGCCCCACGCTAACTGCAGATTAAAGATGACCGCCGGCGCCCGCCGCGCCAGGCCAGACCGACAGTAAAGCGTCCCTATCTGCGCTCATCCGGCCGGCGACGCGACGCACCAACATAAAGATAAACGCAGATACAGTGGTAATAGAGCGCGGCGCCGCGCCGGAGCGCTAATGGACGCGGCGGCCGGCGCGGGCGCCCTTCGACGCTACCGCCGTCCCCGTCCGGCCGGCCGCTGCCGCTGTCGGCTGCCGCTGTTGTCGCCGCTTCTCGTGTCGAAGGATCGACCTGCGGCCGGGCGCGGTGTCGGCGCGTGCGATCGCGCCGTCGCGTGATCGCGCCAGAGGCGACGAAGACAGAGGTATCAGGGGCGCGTGCGGGGACGCGGGAGCTCATTATGGACGGGTCGCGGCCGACACGCCAGGCGCCGCTGCGTCGGTCGGCGCCGCCCGTCCGCAGTCCCGAGCGACCGCGACCTATGATAACACGGCCCGGGCTGTGACCGAGCACGCGCCTCCACGCCGTGTCACGCGCTGTCATCCAGGTCACGTGGTGCGGCGCGGCGTCACGAACTAGGTCACATGACCGGTCACACTTGCACATCATGTTGTCACATAAAGCAATGATGATTTGACGGAGCACATGTAGGTATGCTCAAAGAAATAATGTACGGGACGAAACTCAATACTCGTAGACCGCTTCTTACATAACACTCCAAACGGCAACTAGCCCTCATTGTGCAAAGTAGCTAAGATCATGGTCGTTCAGAACGGCAGTGGAACTTTCTCTGAAGCAATAACGTCCCTTTGGGGAGACTGGCCCGGCTGGCTCTACGACACCTTGGTGTCCGACCGGCGCGGTCCAACTTGGCCCCGGAGCAGACCGGAGCGGCTCGGAGCGGCTCCGACCAGCCATCGACCGGCCCGAGACGACCAGTAACCATGGTGCAGACGTAATTAGAGTGACAGCACTGGCGCCCGGACCGAGCACCGGCTCAACTCCGGCGCCGCCGCTTACTTCCGCCACAGTTGATGTGTCGAAGTTAGCACGGGCTATTTCGTATATTTATAAATAAAAACGACCAGTAATCTATAATCATGCTGGTGTGCGATGTCGGCGGGTATGTCTTGAGGGATACTTTCTTGTGGTGGAAGGTTAGCTAGCAATTACGTTACTTGATACCGAGCAATGCAGCACAAAGTTAAAAGTTCGGCCCTATCGTCCAATTACGGGGCCGGGTTTCATCAGGCCGGCCGGCCGCGGTTTTTTAGCGGCGTGTCTGAGGCGAGCGCCGCTGACGCAGCGCCCGCGCCGCCGTCGGTCAGTGATTTCCACCGGCCAGACACGGTGAAATTGAGCTGAAGCCGGCGTGAGCTGGTTACAGACGCTCCCCTTTGCCGGCCGGCGGAGGGGACAGTTGGTTCGACCGATCGCCACCAGCCGATCGGGTCGTTAGGGCCGTACTGTGGACACTGCGGTCCGCCGACGGTCCGCTAACGACCCGTCACCGGTCCGTCAACGACCCGTCAACGGCCGCCGGACGGCGTGGTGACGGCTGTCATTGGCGAGTCCCATCGGGCCCGGCCGATATTGCGGCGCGTCGGGCCCCAATGACCGTCGGTATGCATAGCTCAGGCGGCCGAGCGCCGTCCGAGCGTGTCCGAGCGGCGCGGCGCCGACCGCACGTCGACGCCGCGCCATTTCTGTCGACACGGCCGGCCGCCGGTAAACACGTAATGAGTGAATTATAGAGTGCAGCTCGCGAGCTTCATCAGACGACCGCTCCATAACACAGCGCGTCGTCATCGATGCAAGGTCGCGCGCGTCAAATCCGGCCCGGACCTTCGATTTCGGACGGGAATGTTTCTTCGATTTAAGTTGTACTTACTGCTGTTTAGTGCTGAGGACACTGGAGCTGACCTTTGGCCTTATCATGCTCGTGGTGTAGGGTAGGATTGGTGTCTATGTGATGCGTGATCTGTCGCCGGAAATAATTGGCTTCCGATCCGGAAGTCATGCATTGAGAATCGAGCGACGTCTAAAAGGCACTACGCAGTCGTTTCGCCACAACCAAAATCATGTATACCTATGAAGTTACACATTGTGAGAATTTCCCTGCAGTGTCTCATGGTCTAAATGTCAGAAATGTTTGCATGTTTGTCACAGCCATGCTTTCCGTAGTTTACTGAGTTTGCATCAGCATTTGGCGCTCTCGGTGTCACCGCTGGCTGCACGCTGTCGCCGGCGCCACGCCGAGTTCACCTCTCCCTGAACATCAACACCATGTGTCTGTGGTGACGACTCTGCAGCGGCGGCGCGCTGATCCGGCATTGTTCCCTGTGCGTTCACAGCAGACCATCCTGAACTCGATGCACAAGTACCAGCCGCGCTTCCACCTGGTGCGCGCCAACGACATCCTCAAGCTGCCCTACTCGACGTTCCGCACCTACGTCTTCAAGGAGACGCAGTTCATCGGCGTCACCGCCTACCAAAACGAAAAGGTACGCTCATTTCTCGAGTAGATATTGTAGTCTCGCACCATTACTTTATTTGTCGTATGGGTACTGTTGTGGAACTATGCGATAATGTAGGGGGTCAAGCCTGCTGGATAAGATTCGTAGGCCTTAGTGATTCAAGCGGAGCACGCCGCGCCGAACTTATGAAACGGTGCCGCCCGGCCGATCGGCATGCCAATCTGTGAATGTGAAATCGGATATCGCATCTCATGTGCATATGTCGCCGTGTACTGTATGGAAATATGCGTACATCGGTCAATCGTTATACAAATCGGCGTCTAAAATCCCCGACCTGCTGGGACGGTGGCTGTATCCTGGTCGGTATAGAAGCTGTTACCGCACCCCGCCGCGCGCCAGGGGGTGCTACCGCCCGACACAGCACGCGCATACGCATTATACGCGCGCCGGCACCGGCGCGGTCTGAGGCTGATCGGCCCTCCGTACCTCCCGTCATACAATACCGACACACAGGCACCCCACAGCGATCCGGCGGCATCACACAGTGCATCTCCGACACACCTGGCTACGTCCCGGCGAGGGCCCGGCTGATGGTGGTCAACCAAACCTCCAAAGCCGGGCTCCGGCGGCGGCCGGCGGTGCTGAGCCCCCGCCGGCTGGCCGCTGGGACTTTCGCGGTGATGGCCATCTCACTCGCGTGCCATCAAAGACGCTCAGGTGCCGTTAGACGAGCCCCGGCGCGCCGCTGAGCTCGCGATGCGAACAGGACGCACGCGATTCGCGCCGCGCCGCCTCTGCCGCGCCACCGCCGGATTAGCTGTATTATTTGGCTGTGACGGACAGGTGCCGGTGCGCGCTCGGCCGACCGGTCAGCCAGGAGTTAAAGTCACGAAGCGGGGTGCACGGCGCTGCCACGGTGCACGGCGTCCGTGGTGGCGCGGCGGCGGCGTGGGCGGCGCGGCGCACGACTCGCTGCGGGACGCCCTCGGAAGCGGTGTCAGCTCACCGCTGGTGATAGACCGGTGATAGACCGGTGATAGACCGGTGATAGCGGCCGATGGCGGCGCGATGGCGCGATAGGGGGAGTGTTTCCGGCCGGAGCTCCTCTGCGACGGGAGGGCGGACGGTGCGGCGGCTGCCGATCGCGCGGATCGTGCGCGCCCGGCCGGACTTCACACGCGCACGGCTGGCAGAGAGGGGTGGTTTCCGGGAGAGCTTCCGGCCCGGTAATTAATTTGACGCGGCGACCCTGTTTGCGTTGTGCTTGCTCCGGTCTAACTGAGCACCACAGCTACCGCCCGTGTATTGCACTACGGCCAGTCGGGAGTTAAGCGAACGGGTGCAGCCGTGCCCCGGCAGGACAAATACATAACCAGACAGGCATTTGTCGAGGCTCTCCCGGTCACGACAATAACCCCGCCCGGCCGCTCGACCGGCGTCCATTCCCCAGCGCAGCTCGCTAGACAGTCGAGATATTTCTCCGCGCGCCAGGCTATAATTATGCAAATTTACAGACGGAATTATTCGCACGACGCTACAACTTTATAAATAGTATACTGCCGGCGAAAGGGCGCCAGTTTGCGCTCGACTCGAATTAAGTGTTAATTTTTGGCGTCACGATAATCGTCGCAGAGTGTGGGGCCGGGCCGCAAATTACACCCCGACACCGCAAATTTTACACGGCGTTTCCTCGGCGGCCGTGATTACGGCGCCGCCAGGGGATGACGGCCCGGCCGCCGTGCCGACGCCGCTAAATCAATTGTGTAACAAGGCAATTGGTGGGCCGCGCGCCACTGCCGGCCGGCAGGTCTTCTCACCCGGCCGCGTCGGGCGGTGGTAGGCGCTGCAGCTGTGACGGCGGTGCCGTCCAGCGGGCCGTCTCGCCGCTGCACTCTGCACTGTGCACTGGACAGTGCACTGTGCACGAATGTGTCACGGCGCGCAGGCGGAGCGGCCGGCGCGGCGGCCAGATGCAGCGGCGCGGCACGGCCCGCGACGACCGGCCGGTGGCTACCGGCGGCCTCACAAACGGCCGCGATGACACAAACGGCGGCGGGAAGCTGAAACATGTTTCAATAGTCGTCACATTTCAAACATGCATGCCTATCGTGACACATGGATAGTAAACGAAGTGAAAGAAGATACGTTTTAAATTGCGAATATAGGTATTGGTGTAAAACCCAGGCTTTATTTTCTGACTTTTTTTTTGCTAATGACGAAAATAATCATTCGGCTAATTTTCTATGGTCTTATCACGATCACTTTCTGAGCAGCTCGCACCACACGGCTTAGTGCAGTGCTCAGCATATCCAGTCGCTGTGCTGGCGCTGCACCGCTCTGAGCCCGTCTGTATCGGCGGCGCGCCCGTCAGCTATCGGCACTTACCGAGTTACGCGGAGCGCGCGGCGCCGCAGTGCGGGAGCCGCACAGACGCCCGCTGCAGCGTACTTCGTGTCCGATCGACCGGATTAAAGCTGCATTGAAGGGATTACTTTCATCTTTGATTGCAGAGCAAACACTATCACCTCACCCGCTGACATTTCACATCGGCCCTTTTAACAGGCGATTAAGAAGACGCCGCCTTCAGCTTTTATTTGCATAAATCTGATTAAGACGCCGCTTAATGGTCGCCAAAATAACGGCCACGCCAGTTGGGGCGATAAAAGGGAATACTTTATGGCGGCGCCGCGCCATTGTACACCTTGTTGCGCTATAAAGCGGCCCTTAGGTAGCTACCTGCGACGGCTCGTATATTTTGTCGGTATGGCGCGCCTCCCGGCGGACGCGCCGCTGTCTCTGCGGCGCCACTAATGTGTTGTTTTCCCACACGCCGGCCGGCCCTATATCGACGCCCCACGCCCGGCTGTCCGGCGGCGGCGCCGGCCGCAGCTCAAAGCCGATCAGGTGCACCAGTCGACATGAATTAATCAGACAGGTACAGGGGCGCCGGCCGTCGACGGGGGGCCGGTCGGGCCGGCGCCGCGGCCGGATCGACTGTATTCCGACCCCGCTTATGAGCGGTCGACACTGCGCGCGTTGGAATAGCTCTCCTGGCATGATCCGGTGCGCTTTACTCGCCTTGTTAGTCGGTGACGGATGGCCGGCTGACACGCGAGCGCTGTGTACTCGGCGGCGGCTGCAGCGCCGGCCGCCGGCCGCCCTGTCACGCCGCCCGCTATCTGGGCCGGCAGAGGGGTGCGGTCGGGGATCGGTCGGACCGGCCAGCACCCTGTGGTCACCGCGGCCGGGGCCGATGACGTGGCGGTCCACTGGCGGCCGCAGAGGGCGCACTTTGTGGCGCCGCGCAGCGCCGCAAACGCCGCGCACCACGGCCGAGTGCGTCGCTATCGCCGCCGCTGCCGAACGCGGCGCACTTTGATCGCCACTCGCCTCACTGACCCGTCGTCTTGTTTCAGATCACCCAGCTCAAGATTGACCACAACCCGTTCGCCAAGGGCTTCCGGGACTCTGGCGCCGGAAAACGAGAGAAAAAGTGAGTATCATTTTTTGTGCTCCGGCATCTCCTCTGCCTCAGCGCCACCACAAAAACCCTCCTCACTCTAATCCCTCATCTGTTCGATTATGGAGTAGCACCGTGCGGCGCGAACTCTCGCGCCTTGGAGTGCCTCTCGACGCGGCCTTTGTCACCGAGCAGGGGTGTTGTATGACGCCCTTCGACGCCCAGTGTGCTAATAGCCGCGAACGCCGATACAGATTCGCTACAGCGCCGCGCTCTGTCTGACCGAAAGGGGTGTGATGACGACGGGCGCCGCGCGCCGCGGCCGCACAATGCGCGCCACAATCGGCACAAAGCGCCGTTTGGACACGGTGTAATCGGGGCGAATGCCGCCCCGAGATCAAGCGGGCGGAAGGGCCCGATAGGAGCTGAAGAGGAGCCAGGGGTGCGTGGTAGCCGGAGGGGTGCCTACCGCCGCCGGCGGCTGGCAGCCTGCAGACTGTGTGCTCCTGCTGTGCTGGCTCGGTTCAATTTCATATCGGCCTCCACCCAACATCTTTGCTATGGCTCTTAGTCCGGTCAATCCAAAGCCGTTCGTCCTGTCCGCCTCTGTCTGGTGTGGTCCACTGTTCAGACGGCCTCTGTCCGGTGTGTTCCACTGTTCAGACGGGCTCTGTCCGGTTTCGTGAGCCCCAGTCGGCAGTTGTTCCCCTGTCCTCGGTTTCGGCACCTCGTCACAATCCGCATGTCAAACTGCAAACGACAAACCCGCGATGTTTTCACCGCCCTCCCAACCGAAGCCGCAAAGCCTTGTAAATGTAAATGCAGATAAAAGTCGTCGTCCTGTCGGCTTCCAGGCATCGACAACAAGCTTGGAATGGACCGCAGTAAAAGTCGTCACACTCGGGCGTCCAAATGACACGGCCGCACGTCACTGTTTGGTGACAGCGCTGTCACATAGGAACAAACAGCACATCATCACCGGTCTGGGCAGCAGGATTTCCACTGCCTTGGAGAGGTAACGCCTAAACCAGACAGCTCCTGCAGTTCTGCCGCGATTTCTGCTGCAAATTCAGGACGGTGAGGTGTCGATTTCCTACGGGAGGGGTTCTTTCTTTATCTGGACGACCGAACCGGTCACTATTGAGGCCCCGCTGGACGAGGAGGAACCAGCCGGCGTGTCAGCCCTCTCGATGTGTGTCCTTACGCCCCAGTGCCGATGGGGTGCGGCGACCACCTCCACAATGGCCCCGACCCGCGGCCGCGCCAGCTCTATGTCGTGCCGAGAATTAGCCGACACAATGGCCGCCGTGCTAATCCTCGGCGGTGACTTTGAAGGCGGTCATCGCGGGGCGGTCTTTCCTGCCGCCGCGCCGCTCCAGAAGGCCTCGCCGCCGCCCGGCAACGCCTCGCTGGTTCGCCGGCAACGCCTCGGCGCCCGGCGCTGCGCCGGCCAGGTGGCTCGCTGATGACCGCCCGTCTCAGCCCGGTGACTCGTCAGCGACCAGGTCACGACCCGGCCGGCCTATTGTCACCTGACGACAATCGCCGGGCCGCCGAGCTGTCTGCCGGCCGGCCCGCCAGAGCCGTCCGCTCGTCTGTCCTGCCCGTCTCGCCGGCCGCCGGGATGTGATTCCGATTAGCTGGCCGTGTGTTTGGAGTAACTCCACGTAAAAACGAGTCGCTCGGCGCGCCTATTGTCTGGCGACGCTCAGAGGCCGACCGACGTATAACTGTCGCCGCTGAGTGATTGACGACGCCCGCTGACGGCCGCCTGTCATGGCTCCTAATCGACACAAAAAACGCGGCCGTCGCGGCGCGGCCACCGTGCAGCCGCCGACCTCGACGCGCGGATCAAAGCGCGCCGCCCGATACACCTCGCCGCCGTCACCGGCACCGGCCAGTGACGTCATAATCGGATGACGCCACGCGCGCCGGCAAGGTGGCCGGCGGTGACGGCGGTGACGGCAGGGTGACGGCAGGGTGACGGCAGGGTGACGGCGGCTGCCGAGCGGGTGAAACGGGTCACTGCCGGGTCGGACTCCAGAGGGAGACGCCTCTGACAGAGGCTCGTCACGAGCTGTGACGTGTGACGAACCGAGGGCTTGGTTTGATGTGACGCGGATGTGACGACGTTACTGGGCGGAGACCGCCACCCGCTGATGGAAAACTCCTCGAGCGCCGACTTCAAAGTCGGGGATGGCTCGGTATTCACCGGGGCGCGAGGTGCATCTGACCCCGGAGAGCACCCTCCCCCGCACCCCCCCCCCCCCCCCCCCGCAGCCGCAGCACCCCCGCGGATGGGGATTTTCACCGTGCAACGCGATATATTCGGCTTCCAGCAGGACAAAATCGGATTGTCGGCGGCGGCGGTGTGTTTTCAAAGGGCGCCGCGCGCTGTCGGTATCCGGCAGTGGCGTCTGATGTCGCCTGAGAGAGCTCTCCGGCCGCGAGCCGCCGCCGCTGGCTCCGAGCTGGGAGCTCTGAGCTCTGAGCCAGAGCTGAGGGTTCAAGGTCACAAAGTGATAAAGCTTCTGGTTGTGAGAATGTGAGATGCATCTAGTTTAGGCGTTCGATTATCCAGGGGAAGCTCGGGGCTTGTCACGAGATATATTCGGCAAGGTGCTAAAACTTCGAGGAAAAGACAATAACACATATGACATAACCATAATCTATTGTCTGGTGCAGCTTGAATCGAGAAGAAAGTGCATGTCTATGAGCTTTGGGTCGAGACCTGTCAGTGTCAAGCTGGATGTGAAGGTTTGGCAGTTAAGACATTGAGCTGGGAATCGGAGTTTGTCGACTTTGAGTCCTGTTGACTCAGTCTGGGCGGCAGCCCACCCACGAGTCGGGAGTGAGTCGGGAGGCCACCTCTGTGAGACCGCCGGGACCCCCGCTCTGTGACCACCTTGTCGAGCCCGTCTCGGACTGATAAAATGGTCCACCGAATGTCGGCAATTACTCTGTCTCGGTGACGGATGTCCGCCGCATTATCTGGCGCAAAGTGGGGCCGATATCACCGGATAATGACAGCGCCGAGGGGCGCCGGTGTACCGAGCACCTTTCACCACCGAATTGCCCCTGTCGCGTTACCGAGATTGATATAATTCAATTGAGCGTCACACGAATGTGTTCAAATTGCCACCCAGTGGTAGTTTATTTGTGTTGAGCCCGTGACGTGTCAGTAAATGTGTTGGCGTAGCCTTGAGCGTTATGAGAATCATATATTCGTAAATGTCAAGACCTCACTTTTTCATGTCACCTTTACATTACAGTTGGCTGTGCGAGAAAATCACTATGTTAAGCTTTATGGTGGTTCAGCATGTATGGACCGTGACGAAAGCTGAGTACACAGGCGTTACTTGAATGGTGATGGATTGTGCTGTGATACCACCTGTGTGATTGTGTGGCATATACTAACTCGGCGGTCTTTCCCGCAGAAGCCAGCGGCCCAACGCCCTGACGGCCGCCTCCCCGGGCGGCGGCGGCGGCGGCGGCGGGGGCGGGGGCGGCGCGGACGACTCTGGCCAGCTGCACTCGGACCAGGCGCGCTCCTCGGACGAGAGGGACGAGGACGAGGACGAGCGCCTGCTGGACGTGGTGGGCGACCGCGGCTCGCCGATGCCGCCGACCACCACCACGCTGCCGCCGCAGCTGCCGCAGCTGGGCCCGCTGGGCCAGCTGAGCCAGCTGCCCCAGCTCGGACAGCTCGGACAGCTGCCGCAGCTGCCGCTGCCGCCGGCCGCCGCAGACAGCCCGCCGCGCTCCGTCTCGCCGCCCATCAAACCAGGTAGGCACCTCCGCAGAAACCGACCATCTAGGGTCACAGTCACACCGGGGCGGCAGCGCACTGTGGGCCGAAACGCCAGCTGTGTCGGTCATTTTATCAGGGCCGCAGAGGGAAACAAAGGCGGCACGACACAGGGCACCGTGTAACCATTTGCTGCTGTGTTTGTTCGAGGTGTGATATTAACACGAAACTTGTTTTCACTCATATTCTGGATGTTGATGGATTCCAGTCCATTTATCTGTCGTGTTATCTTGCTCTATCACCAACGCCGAATTAATTGCCATTAATTACGAAACATGCTAATTTGTGTATGTCGTACAAAAAAGCAACTAGCGCCGAGCTAAGAGTGTTTCGCTGCCTGGCGTGTGTTATCGTCTCTCATCAGCCGGATCGTCAGATAAAATTAGCCATTAGCGCTGTGGTCGAGAGTTGGTCTAACAGCAATATGTCGCTGCGGTCGAGAGTTGGTCTAACAGCAATATGTCGCTGTGGTCGAGAGTTGGTCTAACAGCAATATGTCGCTGTGGTCGAGAGTTGGTCTAACAGCAATATGTCGCTGTGGTCGAGAGTTGGTCTAACAGCAATATGTCGCTGTGGTCGAGAGTTGGTCTAACAGCAATATGTCGCTGTGGTCGAGAGTTGGTCTAACAGCAATATGTCGCTGTGGTCGAGAGTTGGTCTAACAGCAATATGTCGCTGTGGTCGAGAGTTGGTCTAACAGCAATATGTCGCTGTGGTCGAGAGTTGGTCTAACAGCAATATGTCGCTGTGGTCGAGAGTTGGTCTAACAGCAATATGTCGCTGTGGTCGAGAGTTGGTCTAACAGCAATATGTCGCTGCGGTCGAGAGTTGGTCTAACAGCAATATGTCGCTGTGGTCGAGAGTTGGTCTAACAGCAATATGTCGCTGTGGTCGAGAGTTGGTCTAACAGCAATATGTCGCTGTGGTCGAGAGTTGGTCTAACAGCAATATGTCGCTGTGGTCGAGAGTTGGTCTAACAGCAATATGTCGCTGTGGTCGAGAGTTGGTCTAACAGCAATATGTCGCTGTGGTCGAGAGTTGGTCTAACAGCAATATGTCGCTGTGGTCGAGAGTTGGTCTAACAGCAATATGTCGCTGTGGTCGAGAGTTGGTCTAACAGCAATATGTCGCTGTGGTCGAGAGTTGGTCTAACAGCAATATGTCGCTGTGGTCGAGAGTTGGTCTAACAGCAATATGTCGCTGTGGTCGAGAGTTGGTCTAACAGCAATATGTCGCTGCGGTCGAGAGTTGGTCTAACAGCAATATGTCGCTGTGGTCGAGAGTTGGTCTAACAGCAATATGTCGCTGTGGTCGAGAGTTGGTCTAACAGCAATATGTCGCTGTGGTCGAGAGTTGGTCTAACAGCAATATGTCGCTGTCATTAGTCGCGGAGAGATGTGTCGGCGCCACTGACACGGTCGGTGTGTGGTCCGCTCATGAGAGCACCTGTATCCTAAAAACGGCGCCGCCGCCACTCCCAGGACTGTGGCTGCGTGGGGCCGAAAACCAGTTTGGCGGCCGCCTCGGAGCCATGAGATTCGCCGGCCAGCCCGCCGGAGCAGCGTCCTGTGCGATCCGCACCGCCCCATCTAGTGCTCTAATTAACGGCAAAATATGACGCCTTCCACGCGGCGCTCCAGTGGGTGCTAAGGTGTAATCTTTTTTAATAAGCCACATGTTGGCCTGGGATTATGGCCGGTGGTATCACACGTCATCTGGACACTTATACTGCGGTGCGGCTCGGCCGGACCGTCTGCCTGGCTGCCTGCAAAAGACTCGACACGACAGGCCGCCAAAATACCTCCCCGCGCCACCGTCAACAACGCTCGACAGCCTGCAGTGGCGGGACGCTCGACTGAAGCATCCGTACCGCCACGCCCACTCAATAGCTGGAGTGATTGAAATATGCCAAACAGTCCCAGTATCGGAAAATAAGGGGTGCCATATCTCAAGCTATTGATCCAAAATTATTTAGAGCAGCAGCAATCAATAGCCACCTATCTCGGCATAAGCCAGATCCTTGTATTCTACCATCGCTTCGTCGTTGTTTTCCACTGGAGTCCGAAGACGTCAGTTACTGACTCACCTCCTCCCTGTGTTGCAGAGTCCAAGGAGGAGTCGCGCCAGGCGCCGGCGCCACCGCCGCTCTCCTTCCGCCCGTACGACGACAGCCCGAGCAAGAAGCGGCCGGCCACCGCCGAGCCCGAGCGCGAGCACGCGGACGCCGAGCGAGAGCAGCGCTCGGGCGGCGAGCAGGAGTCGGAGCCGGAGCCGGAGCGGCGCCGGCCCGACAGCGAGCGCAGCAGCGGCGACGCCAGCGACCGCGACGGCAGTGACGCCGAGTGCGGCAGCGCCTTCCGCAGCGTGCGCTCCGACGACGAGCGGGTCGGCGGCGCCACGCGCCCCAACGTGTCCGTGGGGCCGCCGATGCAGCCACCGCACCTACTGCCGTACCTGTACAACCCGGGCCTGTACCCGCACCCGGGCATGGGCCTGCCGGGCCTCGGCCACCTGCTGCAGCAGAACGCGGCCGCCGCAGCCGCAGCCGCCGCCGCCGCCGCCGCCGCGCAGACCTCGCTGCCGCTGAACCTGCTGAGCCAGACGTCGTCCCCGCTGACCTCGACGGCCGGCTCGCCGTACCTGGGCGCCGCCCAGCTCAACCCCAGCATGCTGTTCAACGCGCACCTGGCTCTGGCCGCCTCCGGCCACTCGCTGTTCGGCTCGCCCGGGTACGCGGGCCTGGCCGGCCTGGGCGCCGGCTCGCCGCCGGGCGCCGTGCACGCCGAGCGGCTGAAGGCGGCGCGCTTCTCGCCGTATAGCGCGCCGCTGACGACCACCACCAGCACGGCCAGCTCGCCGCTGGCGGCCGCCAGCCAGCTGCTGGCCGCCGGCGGGCCGTCCGCCTTCGAGACGGTGACGCGGCCGCGCGCCGGCTCAGCCTCGCCGGTGGCCGCGCCGCCCGCGCACGCCGCCTCGGTGGCCTCCCAGCTCAAGAATATCGAGAACATGGTGAACGGCCTGCACCGGCGACCGTCGACCGAGAAGTGAGTGACGGCCCCGGCCGCCGTCCGCCTGCCCGCTGCAATATAGATAGAATTTCCATCGAGTGTTACAGGGTACGTTATGTTCATCTCATATGCGCTGTCGCGAGCCGCGCCGGCCCGGGCCGCGAGCTGCCGCGCCGGCTCAGAGGCGCCCCGCGTGCGAACGTGGGTGTGTTCGAGTCCGAATGGGAGACTGTAAGGGGTAGTATCCTTGCGAGCGCTCCGCATGTGACCGCCGTGGATGGCTAGGCGCATGCGGAGCGTTCGTGTGTCTGTATGCGTGTCAGTGTTCACCTGAATGTGCCAGATTGTGCGGCGATGCGTATCCATACGGAAAGACAGCGAATATCTGCACGGGTCGTCCCCAGCGCTCGGCCCTTCCCGGCGAGACGGGGCGGCTCGGAGTGTGGATGGCATGTGCACTCCATAGTCTACTTAATCGGGCTGCTATTTATTGGAATGTGTTACCGCATTGCTTGCGCCGGCGGCCCGCGAGTCTGGCGGCTGGGGTACGCGCCGTCGCGGGCTCGTCCCCGGCGGGCCGCCAGTCTCTTGTTCCGAGAAGTCAGTCATCTTTGGGTTTAGCGGTCCGCTCAGTATCGGTTCTGCTTCATGTGCATGCATTGGATAAGCGCGATGTTCTGTATTCCGGAGGAGGCTTATTTTATTCTGGGATCGCGTTCAGAAGCAGGAATAATCAAATTCTATATGGATCTTTGGACGTGTAAGCTATTTTTGTTTTCTTTCTCTAGCCTTCCGTAGAAATCGTGTTTAGTAAAATGTGTAAATATGCACAATGTCTCACTGTTGGATGTTCTTGTAGAAACCAAAGATATATATTGTCAATACCACGTGGCCATTATACTTCGTGCTGATATAAATGTATTTCCTGTTTTGGCACACATCCCTTATGGTAAGGGAACCTTGCCACCGGCCGCGGCCCCCTGGCCGTTGATGTGTGTGTATTTGTGATCGGGGAAGGCTTGTTTTCGTGTCGACTGACGCCAGGTCGGTCTCCGCTTGGGCACAGAGACGACAAAGCGACGAAATGATTAGATGGTAAATTGACTAACTTCTTATTTTGTTATCACGCGCATTTTTTATTATAGTAAATGCGAGCAGAAAGCTATTTACTTTGTAATGTTGCAAACAGAAATATATTTATTTTGTTTATCTGTAAATTATATATCTACAGCTCCTTGGTCTGTAGTTCGTCATTTTCTCGTCTCTGTGCTCGGGCTCATTTTCGGGAGCTACGTGTTGACCTCACCCACACTAACGTGTAACGCTAGAGTGTTCAAATGTGATACGGTTCCTGAAAGCTCGAGACAAATAAAGGTTTAAATAGACTCGGCGTATCTGTTGGCTGCATTTCGGTGAACCGTGAACGGCGCTGGACCGTGAATGACTGAAGCCGAGAGTTGCTTGATGTGAAGAGTCAAAAGGGGTCGAAAACAGGGGGCGATAGTCGGAAGAGCCCGGAATGATATGCGACTATGCTATGAAGTAGTCAGGCTTGCATAGCCACCACAACCGTTTTATATTATTATCGGGGAACTATTCTGCTTTCAACTTCAAACGAATTGTGTGACAAGAAAACGGATGAATTGTTTTGATGAAGGCATGCATTCAATTGACCTAGGTAAGGATATTCCAAAAAAATCTACTATTATAAATCCTAAAAAGTCCGCCGCCGTCGGGGTTACGCCCAAAAACGCTCATTGCAAAGCCGTCGATTGACGCAGGAGGGTGAAATTTTTACCACTCGTGGGTCACGTCATTCAACAGGTCGTATTCAATTTTGGGCACGATGCGGCCAGGGGTGCGCCCGTGGCGCGTGCTCACGTGGTGTGCCATAGGGTTTACACTAGAATCGGCAACAGGCTATTGCTCGGGAACGGTAAGGGCTACGGGGGTGAAATTTTCGCTGTAAGTCGATCGCGTGCACTCATTTGTCGTATTAAATTTTCGACGGTGTGGGTTCAGCGGTGTGCACGTGGTGGGGCCGCGACCGGCGCCGAGCAAAAGGCTCGTGCTTTAGGCTCAGTTGTTCGCTTAAAAACTGACTGGAAATAATCAGAGCCGGCAGGTCATTGACCTTTGGCAATGAATACCGACGCCGGGCACCGCTCGCCAAGAGGATTCGCCAGTAAATACAATTAATTTATTTTTATAAATATGTGAAAATGATCAATAACATGGCAGATATGTAAAACTTTTATTTTAAAATAGGCCAAATATGAGAATGAGCTTTCGCTTTACAGCATCATCAGATTCATTGTTTTATGACATTTAAAAATTCTAGCTACACACAAAGTCTATCACGCGCTCAATGTTAGGTGGGAATATCGCAATGCAGATACATACATTCTTGACACGGACAATTTCGAACATAAATCTTATAGCACATATGTAGAAGTGTACAAAGGTAAACAAATAGGTTAAAGAATCGAGAGGCACGAAAGATATCGTTCACATCTAGATATCTGATAAGTAGAAGAGTACTGGGCCGACAAGGCTATCACAAGGCTAGCCAGCAACAAATACGAGACTCCAGCCTAGGTACCCTCATGCGTCCGAAATATGATCTATGATCACCGTACACCCTTCAGGTACCTACACCACCGAACTGTATTTCAAACCGATGGCTGCACCGATCATCTTACACTACACCTCTGCTCATCCCATGTCGACAAAGAAAGCGGTACTCAACGCAGAAATTCAAAGGGCTATTCGAGTCTCCTCAGACAAACCCGCTACAGAACGGAGTATCGAGATCATTTCACAATTGTTCAGCAAAAATGGATATCCTATGAGCCTTATCAAACATTCAATTAGGAAACAAAAGTACAGCAAAGGAACCAAGAAAACACGTACTTTGGCCAACGAAAACCAGATCTACATGCGTTTACCTTACATCAATGAGACGATCGTACGCCGAGTAAACGGCATTATCCGCGGCTCCAAAATTCCTGTCAAGCCCATTTGGATTAATGACAACTCGATTCAAACAAAACTGATCTCCTCGGCCCTTACCAGACCACCCTGCCCATCCGGCAACAAAAAGTGCCATACTTGTGAAAATGGACATACCGGGGAAGTGCACCACAAAAAGCGTAGTGTACAGGATAGTCTGTAAGCTGTGCGAAACTACCCAACACGACGAAACCTATATAGGAGAATGCACCAGACCAGTCCGCTACCGATTTAACGAGCACCTGAGCGATGCACGTTTGCGAAAACAAGACACACCATTAGGGGAACACACGCTACATGCTCACTCTCAGCTTCCCAACGAGGATCTCAACAATGCGTTTAGAATTGAGATACTGGATAGAGGTAAGGACTGTGCTGACATCAAAATTAAAGAATCACTTCACATACGCAATCTTAAACCTAGTTTGAACACCATGCAAAGCTCTTGGCCACTGACTAGATAGTTCATTTCATTCGCCACGCCCCGCACAACACACAAACATCAGGACCACACTCTTCATCACCCTCTACCCTTACAAGTTACAACCCTCTCCTTTACACACACCCCCTCACACACACACACACTTAACACACTCAAAGGTACTCAATTGTAATGCTAAGCACATTATTTCGGACGCATGAGGGTACCTAGGCTGGAGTCTCGTATTTGTTGCTGGCTAGCCTTGTGATAGCCTTGTCGGCCCAGTACTCTTCTACCTATCAGATATCTAGATGTGAACGATATCTTTCGTGCCTCTCGATTCTTTAACCTATTTGTTTACCTTTGTACACTTCTACATATGTGGCTTATGTGCTATAAGATTTATGTTCGAAATTGTCCGTGTCAAGAATGTATGTATCTGCATTGCGATATTCCCACCTAACATTGAGCGCGTGATAGACTTTGTGTGTAGCTAGAATTTTTAAATGTCATAAAACAATGAATCTGATGATGCTGTAAAGCGAAAGCTCATTCTCATATTTGGCCTATTTTAAAATAAAAGTTTTACATTTCTGCCATGTTATTGATCATTTTCACATATTTATATCTATTCATCATGGCAAAAAGCACCATCTCACATATTAATAATTTATTTTTGCAATATCTCAGCCGTTTCTGGGCCGATTTAGCTGAAACTTGGACTGTCGGTGGTAGTGTAGGGTAGGGTAGGGTAGGGTAGGGTAGGGTAGGGTAGGGTATGGGTAGGGTAGGGTAGGTTAGGGTAGGGTATGGGTAGGAGTAGGGTAGGGTAGGTTAGGGTAGGGTAGGGTAGGGGATTGTAGGGTAGGGTAGGGTAGGGTAGGGTAGGGTAGAGTAGGGTAGGGTAGGGTAGGGTAGTGTAGGGGTAGAGTAGGGTAGGGTAGGGTAGGGTAGGTTAGGGGTAGGGTAGGGTAGTGTAGAGTTAAGGGTAGGGTAGGGTAGGGTAGGGTAGGGGTAGGGGTAGGGTAGGATAGGGTAGGGTAGGATAGGGTAGGGCAGGGGTAGGGTAGTGTAGGGTAGGGTAGTGTAGGGGTAGGGTAGGGTAGGGTCGGGTCGGGTAGGGTAGGGTAGGGTAGGGTAGAGTAGGGTAGGGTAGGGTAGGGTAGGGTAGGGTAGGGTAGGGTAGGGTAGTATAAGGGTAGGGTAGGGTAGGGTAGGGTACGGTAGGGTAGGGTAGGGTGGGGTAGGGTAGGGTAGGGTAGGGGATTGTAGGGTAGGGTAGGGTAGGGTAGAGTAGGGTAGGGTAGGGTAGGGTAGGGTAGTGTAGTGTAGGGGTAGGGTAGGGTAGGGTAGGGGTAGGGGTAGGGGTTGGGGTAGGGTAGGGTAGGGTAGGGTATGGTATGGTATGGTAGGGTAGGGTAGGTTAGGGTAGTGTAGGGATAGGGGTAGGGTAGGGTAGGGTAGGGTAGGGTTGAATTAAGTAACATCCTAATCTTACAAACGGCTCGAACAACTCGCATGCATCACCATCATACTTTACAGTTCAATTCAAAGCAGTTACCCAGTTCTTCACAAATAATACCAGCAAGTTTCTACACCCAAACTAA